AGTGCCGTAAAGGCCCATTCACAATGCGAACATAAACGTAAGCATGGCGTTAACATAAAGGTTAGGACCACGTCCATAAGCGGACTCATTCATAATGCGTTCGCACAAGCATAACACGTAAGACGTTAAAGGCCCGTTCACAATGCGAACATAAACATAAGCATGGCGTTTAACATAAAAGTTAGGACTACGTTCATAAGCGGACGCATTCACAAAGCGTTCGCATAAGCATAACACGTAAGACGTTAACTTAAAAGCGTGCAAGCTTCAAGTTTCTGTGCTTATGCTTACGTAAGACATAAGAAATGAACCAATCACAGAACGGTAACTCAAAATCGAGAATCGAAATTGGAGGGAAGTCGATAGAAGAACGCCTTATGGGCCATGAACGCAGTCGATATCTTGAAATCGATTCTCACATCCAACCAGAAAGTCTCACAGCCAATAGACACTTATTTTGCTTACGTTTATGTTAGGCATTGTGAATACATCAGTCTATCGCTTATGTTAATGTTGCATTGTGAATGGTCTTTAAGTGTAGTGCATATTTCTTTCCTTCGGAAGGTCTTCCCCTGGTGGATAGCGCGATCTGGCGCCGACCTTCAGTCGTTCCTTCCTTGACCAGCCAGAATTTTATAATTATCTTGATGTCAGTTGCATATATTATAATTATTGTACTGATATTATTAGCCAAGCGAATGAACATAGGTTTGACCCAGCTGCGCTGGCAACAATGCGTTGCTCGTTTTTGTATAATTACTTGCGAATACTGTATCAATCAAATGTATTCCTGTTGGTTTATCTTGTGAGAGTAATAAATGATTGCTGCTCCTGACTATTATGAATTACACTCGCTTTGTTAGAATTGGACGTTATCTATGAATTGCAGCTGAGGTTTTAGTAGCGCACAAAATGAAATTCTTCAACATTACGTAGCTGTTTCCAATAATGCGAGAAAGCATGTGCTGTCGTTACTTTCTCGTGCTTAGGAAAAGAAAGTTATGTAATGCTGCGCGAAAAAATGTCGAATTTTCGGCAGAAAAACTCTTATTACAGGGCCTTGAAAACGAAAAAGTGGATAAATTCAGTTGCTAAATTTCGGTACAAAATCCTTTAGCATGTGGTGTAAGCAGAATCCTTGTTTTGTGTTTCCTTGATACCAAAATATCGATTGACAAGAAAATGTGTCCGTCTGTCCGTTCGTGTGTGTGTGTGTGTGTGTGTGAACAACGCTAGCGGTTAAACTGTTCAGCCGAATTTCTCCAACACTGATATTCCGTAATCGATCTGACTGATATTCCGGTTCCGTGAATTTGAAATCTTTATTTTAATTTTGGGAGGTACTTTACATGAAACCCCTGGGACATTTTTAAATTTTCAAAAAACTGACACCATTAATTATGATTAAATATTGTTGTTGGATAGTCTGAAAGACGTTGAAAATGACTCGCATGTCTCATATTCGTTGAAAACTGATTTTTTAAAAATTTCGAACTGATATAAAAAAGGAGTTATTCTATCGAAAAACTCGGCTACTTTTCCAAAAGGATATCTGATATCGAGGGCTGTGGTTTGGTACGAAGTAAAGAAGCTGAAGTGGTTGGGGGCGCAAGCGCAGAACCGAAAAAACAGAAACTCTACCTCGAACCTCTAACTCTACCTAGAACCGAAACTACCTCTTCCTACGAAGTAAAGGCGAGAGAGTAAAAACGCTGATGTGGTCGGGTGCGCATGCGCAGTGTCGGGTCCCGGGCGCGCGCTCTTCGACGTGGCGGAGGTGGCGCTCGCGGGCGCGAGCAGTCGTGGCGCCCCCCGCTCCGCGCAACGCGTGCTGTTGGCCGCGCTGCTGCTGCTGGCGCTGGTGGTGGGCCACGCCTACTCCGGCCAGCTGCTGGGCTTCCTGGCCGCGCCGCCGCGACTTCCAGACCCCAACACCCTCGAGGAGGTACCCATTCTACATGACGTTTTTGCATTTCTAACCACATCGATAGTTACAACTTGATGAAAGCAATTTCTTTTTAAATATGGTTGAGCATCAGTTTTGTACTGATCCATTTCTAATATATTTAACTTCATTATAGTGCTAGTGTTATTTATTCATTTTTATTCTCTTTGTCATTTATTTATGGTCCCATCGAAAACTGAGATAATTAGTGACTCAATACTTTTACATTGTGTTAACAAATAGGTAATACCTGATTGGAGTACAGACTTGGATACAACAATTGGTCAGATGTTATAATTTTTGGCCTTAATTAACATATCGCCCATCAGTAACACATAGCCTTGGCCACTTTTGGTGAATAGGCAAAGTATTTATAGTTAAGTGTTTATTGTGCAACTCAAGAAAATTGAATACAATTCTTACATACTCAGGCAAAAATACAGATACTCCAGAAGGTCACTATATATAAATATATGCTTCAAATACAGTATACATTGCTTATTTGCTTTTTCAATTAATTTTTATTGAATACTATATTTCTATCTTTATAGAACTATATAACTTTATCTTTATAATCTATAGATGTAAGAATTGATTCCGGGTTCATACTATGTAGGTGTTTTTGTCTGGGCGGATTGTAGAGGGGACATTGGTTAATAAAATGGGATATATTAATAGGCATATTACAGAAGTCACATATAAGGGCTGAATTTCTTTCTACTAGTAAGTGTAAGTGGCATAGTTTGCAGTGTCCGTTTCTAATCCTTGTAATAGCTACTTGATATTCTGTTGATATGTTTTTTTTTTTCTTTTCGGTAGTGGAATTTATTTATTTGTTTCTGAAGGGCGCTCATTATTAAAGTTTTTAACATGGTATTCCATGTGTCTTGCGTAGATTTTCCAAAGTTTCCAGAGTTTTACTTGGCCTTCGAATGTATTGGAAACTGTTAATATTGTATTTGTGACTTCCAGATATGTTGTTACAATGCTCAGGTTATCAATAACATTCTGGATTGTTTATTTTGCTGTGAACGCCGGCGTGGTTATCTTTTAACTGAAGTCCTGTAGAACAAGTATTCAAGTCAATTTTAAAGAAAATAAATTTTCTTCAACGTTTGTGTGAAACATTTTTTCGTTCCAGCTTAACTTTTCAACGGCGAAAATTTAAAGAATAAATTTGGAGAGGTTTTTGTCCTTTGTGTGCATCCCCCTATTTAATTCTTTTAAGCCTCTCTTACGATATACGATAACGTTGTTTAATAAACAAATTTGGAGCTATTTTTTAGAAAATGTTGTTGAGCCTTCATGTTAAGTGCCTCTCAAAATAAAAATATCTGTTTTTAATATTAAACGATTACAATACTTTCTCTTGTTACAAAGTAAGGCCAAGAAGGTAACAATGGTGTCTCTCCGCAAGGTGGCGGCCGCTGTGCGCGCCGTACTCACACCCTTTCTTCAGCCCCCTTTCTGGAAGACCCCGGGGGGCGCGTGGGGCCTTGACTCAGCTCTTCGCAAGATGCAGTTGGTGAAGTATGAAAACGTTCTGTCGGATCTCGAGAACGTCGCGGACCGCTGGCGCCTCGCCTACCTGGCCACGGAGTTGGGGCTGAGAGCGCGCGTTATCTCCCGCCAACCTGACTCGAGAAAGGGCGAGCAGATGCTTCACACAGGCGTCGGAGTGCATGCGACCGCCCGCGCCATATGGGGTTGCTGGTGGCGCGCCACTCCCCCATCTTACGACTGGTGAAACGCGTTCGTGCTGCGCTGCGTGGAGGCGGCGCTGCCGCGCAGTGGCTGCGCGCGCAGCGGCGCGCAGGTGGTGGAGGCGGTGCTGGTGGGCGCAGCCGAAACGACCGTCCGCGGGCGCTGGGCGCTGGAGCAGATAGCCGGCCGCTGCTTGTCTCGGCGGGGCTGGGCGCGGCCGGCGCTGGCTGCGGGCGCGGGAGTGCCTGTGTGTGCAGGCGGCTGCCGCGCGCAGTGGCGGATGCCGTTGGTGGTGGTCGGCGAGGCGAAGCAACGGCCCTGGGCACTGCGCGTGGAGCAGATAGCCGGGCCGCTGCTGTGACTCGGCGCGGGGCTGGGCGCGGAGGTGTTGTGGTGGTGCAAGGGCTGCGCACGCAGCGGTGGCGGCCGTTGGCGGCGGCCAGCTGGTGGGCGCCGAACCGAAGCAACGGTGCGCGAAGCAAGACCGCCATTTAAAACAATGCTTTGCTATCAACCAAGGCGTTCGGAAGCGCGCCTGCAGTGGCCACGTGTGAAGGGGCCCGAAGGCTTCGTGAGACATACCGCTCTACTGGCTGAAATGTAGGCAACAGGTAAATATTGATTCAGTGACGCTGAGTTGGCTGTGTTGGTGTAAAGGCTGTCATTTAGAACTATGTACTACTGGTGGTAGAGTGTGCGCACGTCTGCGGTGCTGGTAGCGGAAGTTTGCCAACGAGCTCCACAGCAGCAATTCCGCCGCTCGTATTGGAGCCCTCGATTAAACCAATGCTTTGCCAACAGACGCGCCACTCGGAACCGCTGCTGAGTGATGCCAGGTGAAGGGGCCCTAAAACAAATCTAAATGAACATCCTACGATATTATTTTTCCTGCACTAGACTATTAATACACTAGACATAATACTCACACTTTCGTTCGAAATGTGTAAGTCTCTCAGCACATATAGTGAATGTTTTCCATCATTCTGGTCTGTGAATAGACACCAAAGAACAGACAGTTTAAAAAAGATGTAAGTTCGAAAAACCTGTTTATATGACGCCGAGAAGATTGTGTGGTATAATTTTCAAAATACATGGTGCAAAAAGAAAACGCACGAAAGGAAAGATTTTGTAGTTTTAAGTAAACTCAGTCAGACAACACAGAACCTCTGTTAATTTTCCTTCCGGAAAATGACACGAACTGTTACGCTCTGAACAAACAAATCCCTTTCACGTGCATACACTGTAATAATATACTGGTCGAAAACGTATTGCTACGCCGGGAAGGACACGGAGGTTGACGCTAGCGATAAGGATATGCTAGGGATTGAGGGACATACACGTCCAAGGACGTGTGGCTGCCCAACGTGTCCCCATGCTCCGTTGGGAACCGTTTTCTTACGATAGGATTACGATCGCGCACACCGCTAGCCCGACTGCCACCCATTCGGCCCATCGTGGGACGAGGTGTAATGCGTGGCTCTTCTTGGGGGGGGCGGAATGACGAGCAGCGGTGTACAGCGTTGCGAACCGCTTCTGACTCCAAGCTAGTGATCTTCGTTTTTTTTACTCGTTGATTAGTGATGATGGGCGAATCGTCGGCTAAGGTTAATGTTCCCGTAAGTGAAATGCATGCTTTCCTCGGGAGGTGACTGCGATCGTCTTCCATTGGATGGTGAGATCCGGCGCTGACATACTGGTCGGTTAGCGGGTTTTTCCATATCTAGGTATCTCCCATCAGCGGGGCAACGCGCCGGCCGGGACAAGCTCTAAGCTCCCCTGAATCTCCTGGAATGTTTGGTAGTGCAGTGTATGAAGGTGTGTGTATGTAAGTAGTGAGAGTAGGACAAAGGGGAAGGAATTATCGCGCGTGGTCTGGGGCCCGTTTGTTTGGGTATTGCCCCGGCATTCGCCTGGTGGTGATCGGAGGAACCACGGAAAACTACCGATCAGAGCAGCCGGTCGCTAGGGTTCTCCTCCAGACAGCGGATGAACTCGACCTAGCTATCTAGCCGGTGTCGAAAATCCTGCCATCGTCGGGACTCGAACCTAGGAACTTGCGGGCACTGCAGTGACAGTGATCGACGTGTGCGTGTGAGGAGTCGTTGGGTCAAACGCGTACTACCAGTGTGTTGACGGCACCCAGGACTCACCCCCGGAGGGAGGGGGTGGGGCGCCGTCAGCTACGTCACGCGGTCGCCCTTGGTGTTTGTGGAGAAGTTATGGACCAGCGTGGGACGCATTGGCCAGAACGTAGTGCGACTTGTGGCGAAAGCTTTCTTGCAACGGGAGGGTGGCGCGCTCTTCCGGCAGGCCAGTGCCCATCTCCAGACTGCCCGCGCTGCGCATCATGCACTTCGCGATATTCGGCCATCACTAGCACGCAGGGTTGCCAGATTCATTCGTGCAACATCCGCCGATATACGGCTGTAAATCAACCCAATTCCGCCCAACAAGAAAAATTCTAACGGGAAATTTGAACTTGCGATAAAATAATACGTATTTGAAGGTTATTTTGAGGTAGTGATCCTTAGAAATGATTGATTATAATCATTTTTTTTGTTTTTGAACATTGTAATTAATAATGTATGTAAGAACCGTATACTTTTTGCAATAATAAGTTATATCTTAATATTTAAAAAAATAGTTATCACCATTCTGATGACTAAAGCAGATAAGAGGAATATTTTCAGAGATAAAATGATTATTTTCAAATAAATCATTTTATTTATCATACTGTCATATCAAATTGAAACGTTTTTTGGATGATAGTAGCTAAAATTAATTTTAAATGGCTTGTTCTAATATTTACAGCAAGTACTGCCCATGTGATATAATATGTATACATGTTGGCCACGACAAAGACGCTATGACATTTAGAACACACACTACTAGAAGTCTAATATTACGCTACTCTTGACATACGACTACTAACATTACTTGCGTCTCAAAGTAAATTTGAAACAATTAACAAATTATTAATGAAAAATCATGTATAAAGTAAAAAACTAAAAAAAATCAAACTCACTGTCAATGTGGTTGTGATAGTTTTTTCGTCAAAATCTGAAAACTCGCCCATAAACCGCACACGTTTTGACGTCCGCCCATTATGCGGTATTCCGCGAAATCAATTTTTGTCCCGCGAGAGAGTGAGCCGATTTTCAGCCCAAAAATCCCAGCCCAAAATTCTGAATTACCTAAGCCTGAAAAACATTTGTGTAGCGAGTAACTAAATGATGTATTTCGTGTGACAGTTATTAAATATATTAAAATTGGTATTGCTTCAACAGCACATACTGTTTCGCATTATTTCTAGCTTTTACAAGTTTTGAAAATTCAGAGGATTCAAAAAAATGAAAATTGCAACATTTTTTTATTGCCTAATGTACTTACATAACCTCAATTGCCAATTGCAACTATCTAATGTAACCAAGTAGATAACTGATAATTTGAGATGGGCTTGTTGCCTGTGTGATATCTTATCTGAGAACAAAATGTTGATCAGGTGTGGAACGACTCTTGACTGACTTTCCTCCTTTGGGATGCATTTCCCAATCAATGAGTAAGCATTCCAAAAAACATTGAGATAATCACATGCAAAAGAAAAAGTACAAATTTCTTTCCATCGAAGATGAATTTAAAACATACAATAGACGGATTAAGACTATCAATTACGAGTAACTAGAATATATTTTTGACTTCACTTTGACTAGAATATATCTTCGACACTTGCGAGATGTGATCAATAAATAATGGGATTTAGTTCAATGCGCGCAAACTGCTCATTGGAGCGAAACAAGACAGGTTGCACTATTTAGAGACATCTTTTAGAAGTACCACGCCACCTCGCTCGCCGCTCCAGGTTGACTTATTGCGTACCAACGACCGTTCGTGTCGTAACCTGCACCACCCTACTGAACAATTTTCGTCAGCGCGACAATGAAATGTTTTCAGGAACAGCGCGTTTGCGTGAAGTTTTGTTCTAAATTTGAAAAAAAAGTGAAATGAAGTCTTTCATAATGATTTCATGTAGACTCTCATCAATACTTTCATAATGAAGCTTTTGTAGACCCTTCTATGGGTCACATGTACTCTTTTGAATGGCACATCTCTCTCATAGCAGGCCAAACTTCAACGTTTTTGTGAAGTTTTGTTTTAA